TATATATAATAAATTCCAGTATGTTGATTATTAGCTCTCTCAGCTGTGTTTGGATGTGTGTGGCTGCCCATGGATGCTATCCTGTTTGCCTCCCTATCATTTATGCAATGCATGACCTCCCTCTGGTTTGAGGTTGCATTGCTTGCTTGTGGATGGTGTAACCACATACACATGTGTACGTGCACATATACACAATAAGTAATAAGAAACTGAGAATGTACAATACATCAGTGCTCACAATGGACAGCAGTCAACCATTTAAGCTAGGCCGGGATAAAATGAATTGAGCGAATAATACAGAGAGAAGCTTTCTTGCATTGCCATGTGGTGACTGTGAGCCCTTCTTAGAAGCCAGAAAATGGAAGTGCTTTGTGTGGGTTTATGCTAGTGGAGTGCTTTGTCAAGATGTTTGGCTATTCAGGCTCTTAAGGGACTGTCATTGTGAAGACTACAAATCAGCATGTCTGAGGTCTCCGTTCTCCTCAAGTCACCTGCTTGAACTAAACATGCGGGGAGGAAAAAAACAAAAAGCTAGATTCATGTGATGATTTCATGTACGTAAGAGCATACTACATGCATCTCTGTGTGTGTGCGCTCATGCGTCTCTGCGGGAAAACATGAGTAAAACTGAGAGATGGGGGATTGCGAGAACAGAGAAACAGACACCACTAATGAAACAAACAGGAGAGGGGGGGAACAAAGGCAGAGAGATCAGAGAAAAAAGATAGAGGAGGCGGAGAGAAGAAGCTTGACATCTGGTTATTGGAGTTTAACAAGACACTCAAAGAAAGAAACAAGGATAAAACAGAAGTGGCAGGAAAAGAAAGTGAGTAATCAGGTGGGTCAGACACAGTGGCGCTCTAACGACATGCTGCATTGTGAGGGTACATACAGTAAAGTCCAGACAAGAATACACTGTCGCCTGGAATAGTTTCAAGCAATCGTGAAAATACTGACAAGGTCTAAGCGAATATGCCCTCGGATCCACTTCTCCATTACCTCGAGTGCTTGATAAACAGTTCAGCAGCAAGGGAGGCAAATGGTAGTCAGGGGCAGCTATAAAACTATTCTGCTGATATATTTGTTTGTTGGTTGTGTGATAAAATGACCAACATGGGAGTCTTAGTAAGCCTGGATTAGTGTTTATATACACATGCTTTATTTACTGCAGGTTTAGGCTGAGCAATCAGCCCCTGCTAATGGTTGCAACTGCAGGTTGATAATTCCTCAATATTATCATTTGCTAACTTTCAGTGGAATCATATTGGGAGGATATGATCTCATGTTATTGTTCTGCAAATGTGTGCAGCTAAAAAAAGTTTCTGAGTAATTAAAAATAAACAAAATTGGTATGTGAAGTTAAGTTTTACAGATACTAAGTTTTTTACGATATAGTGCAGGGCTGGGCGATAAAACGATAATGATAACAAAACTTATTCCTATATAGTTTTACTTAAAATAATTAAAGCAGGCCTACACACAAGATGGGGGAGCTACTGCACCCACTGTGCTATGTGCCACCCGCCCACCTCCACGTTTGGACAGAGTTGCTGCCTCAAGGGAGGGAGTTCAAGTATCTTGGGGTCTTGTTTACGACTAAGGGTAGAATGGAAGCGTCTGCAATGATGCGGGCACTGTACCGGATCGTCGTGGTTCTATTTACTGGTCTATCTACGTCCCAACCCTCACCTATGGTCATGAGCTCTGGGTAGTGACCAAAAGAATGAGATAGTGGATACAAGCAGACGCAGTTTCGTCCATGGGGTGGCTGGGCTCAGCCTTAGAGATAGGGTAAGGAGCTTGGACATTTGGAGGGAGCTTGGAGTAGACCCGCTGCTTCTTCGTGATCAGTTGAGGTAAGTCGGGCATCTGATCCGGATGTCTCCTGGGCGCCTCCCATTAGAGGTGTTATGGGCATGTCCCACTGGTAGGAGGCCCTTGGGCAGACCCAGAACACACTGGAGGGATCACATATGTCATCTGGCCTGGCAACACCTCAGAGTCCCCCAGGAGGAGCTGGAAAGCATGCTGGGGAGAGGGACATCTGGGGTGCTTTGCTTGGCCTGCTGCCCCTGCAACCCGGCCCCGAATAAGCAAATGAAAATGGATGGTTGACGGATAAATCGATGGTCACCCGCCATGCCATTTGCCACTTCCTTCTTCAGAGGAAGAAGACGAGCCCAGCCACCAAGGCTTACTGTCACCAAGCTACTGGTCACTAACCTAGTGTGTACAGTAACGCTATAATGTTACAACATTCCAGCAGCTGGACGGGTAGTCGACCCACACATCTGATACTAATGGAAGGTCAGTTGTTGCTATTTCAATTGATTGATGTGATATAATGTAAATAAAAGTACCTTTGATACTTACATGATTATATATCATTTAATAATCATAAGCGAACATTCTGCCTGAGTCACATCAGATGAACTTTAATCAGCAATGAACGAGCCATGCTACTTCACAACATCATCAAAGTGCATCTTTTGTTACTGTTTTGATTGAGAAAAGGCAGAAAATGACATGCCGTGCCTTCAAAACTTGTACAGAGAATATTGACCACAGTTTCTGTCATCCATTTATTCTATTTACACTGTCAGCCAAAACACTTACAAAATGTTTTAAACCGTCTGCACAAAGGGTTCGACACGTTGCTTACCAGTACAGAGATTTCTTTGTCTATCTCTTGTTTCATTTATTGACATTATTTGGATTGTAATTGTGAATCCACCTCAGATTTGTGGGATGTTTCGCTGTTTGGCAAATGTCATTTTCTGACAATAGGGAATAGTTTAAACCACAATTAATCATCTTGTTTCTTCAACTTTTGCTCCAGAACTTGTAGATAATCATGATTTGATATTTATGGTGATAATTATCGATATAAACTGATGTGAAAATGTTTACTGTGATAACTTTTGGTCATATCGCCTAGCCCTACTAGTGTGTCAGTGGAATCAAGGTAATTAATAAGTTTGATTATTTTCATATGTGATTCTGCATACAACCGTCATGTTTTGATGTCTATACATATATTAAAAAAAATCCTTATTTACTATTGTGATAAAGATTCTATCCATATCGCCAAGCCCTTTGTTGAAGTATCAATATCTCATTCTGCTCTTCCAGGACCTGGTGTTGCCAAGTCCTCTTACTCTGACTCTCCATTCAACACTAAGTGAACGGCACCCTCGCGTAGACATACTGTTACCACAACAACACACCTACGCTACAACCTGCCATTGCCATAGCAACCCTCCCACATGATGTTGGGGCCCTCTGAGAACAGCCGGGAGTTACTATAACAACTGCACCCCCCCCCCCCCCCCCCCCGTAAAACCAACCCCTCTGTGGATCCACCTGGGGAACAGTGTTAAAGCTGCATACTGATTCTTCACGCCCCTCAGCCCGCTTCTTATAGAGATATTTAACACTCTGGCTTCATCTCAAGTCCTCCGGGCCAATCAGATCCCTACACACAGATATGTCTGGGCGACACAACCAATGAGATAGCACCAGCCAATCTCGGCGTTTCCAAGGGTCAGACTGAGGTTGTAAACACACTGAGATCCTCCAATAGCCTCACTGACCTCAATCTGGGGAGGATTAAGAACAGGATGAGATGGCATTCTCTGGCACATACACAAACACACACACGCGCTTATTTTCATCACTTGTGAGGACATTGTATGGACACATTCTTCCTTAACCACAACGGCCATGCGCCTCATTACAACAATTGCATCAGCTTAAGAAGACAAATCTGGGGGTATTCTTTGGGTTTCTTGCAGCAAACAAATCCAACAAAAAGATCAAAACCAACAATGAATTTATCCCATTATGAAGTGTAGCCAAGACCTCATTTGTTTTCCAAAAACCATAACAAACAACTGCACTAGGTTAACATATTTTCTCAATACAATGAATGTGGGCACTGCAGTTTAAGTCACACTCACATACACCATCCTGCGGCAGTAAATCCACACTGGCGCACTAAATGTGTATCTGCT